TTCAACTCTCATGGACTTGTTTTAATTGTGTTCAGCTTCAACTTGAACTTGTGTATGAGCAGTTGATGGTCTGTTCCACAGTTATTGCCTGGCCTTGTTCTGGCTGACGGTATTGAGCTTCTCCATCACCTTTTGCCACAGATGTAGTCCATCTGATGCCTGTATACTCCATCTGATGAAGTCCATATGTATAGCCACTGTTTGTGTTGTTGAAAAAAGGTATTTGTAATGAATAAGTCATTGGTCTTGTAAAATTCTATCATGCAATCTCCAGCATCATTTCTACCATCAGGGTCATATTTTCCAACTACCCATGATTCTTCTTTGTTTCCAACCTTTGCATTCCAATCACCAGTGATGATTAACACATCTTTATAGCATGTTCAGTCAATTTCAGACTGCAAAAGTTGGTAAAAATCTTCAATTTCCTCATTTTTGGCTTTGGTGGTTGGTGCATAAATTTGAATAATAGTAGTATTAACTGGTCTTCCTTGTAGATGTATGGATATTATTCTATCACTGACAGCATTGTATTTCAGGATATATCTTGATACAACTATTTTTGAATTATCTTCAGCACAATTTTACTTGTGTGTGATATTGTTCAATAATTCCCACATTCTGTTGGATCACTGTAGTCGTTAACGTTATGTGTCAGCTTGCCTGGACATGGTTTTGAGTGTCTGGGCAGCTGGATGTAGTTATTCCTTATAATGAGACTGGTAATCAACTCTATGCTCTTCTGTGAGCAGCCTTAGGGATGAAGCCTGCTTCCAGCATATAAGGAGAAGCTTGGAGAAAGGTCTCTGAGCTTTTTGGCATGCTTGGATCCTGCATTTAGCCGAGACTTCATTCAGCAGCCTGCCATGTTGCCTGCTGATCTCGAGACTGTTCTAGCCTTGAACTAGTGGTTTGCCATGTTGCTTGATAATCTTGTGACTGTGCCATTTAACCTTGTGTTTGTCAGCCCAGCAGCCAGCAGCTGCCTGAGTGAAGAGCTGCCTCCAGCTCCAGTGGGCCAGGAGCAAGAGGCAGAGCTGAAACCAAGGTCAAGGGGCCTTTACCCAGCCCCTAGATCTGGCACTTTGAACCTGGACTTCTAGCCTCCTAAACTGTAAGAGAATAAATCCTTGTTTGTTAAAGTCATCTACTGTGGTATGTCTGCCACAGCAGCACTGGAGAACCAAAATAGGAATTGGTACTGAAAGAGTTGTGGGCTGTTCTGACAGATACCTAAAATGTAGAAAGAGGGGTGGAGTATATCCTTTGATCCAAGATCACTGAGCTGAAACCAGCAGAGAGACTGCCAGAGAGACAGAGTGACAGGTTTACCAGCTTACAGACAAAAAAGCTGAATGCTTTTGGGGAGGAGCCTTCCAGGAAGAATGGGTTACCTTCAGGCATTAATTTGTTGATGAGAACAGCATGAGATGGAGTAGCAGGCTTGCTAGCCTACAGAGCAGAAATTCTAGTGCCTCTGGGCAGGAAACTTCCTGGCAGAGTCAATTGCATTTGGGCATTAATTAGCAGAAGCTGAGAGACCAAAGAAACAGAAAGCAGAGCTGCCTTAGCCACAAAGGGTAGGACCATGGTCTCTGGGGATGAAACTACCACAGCCTCTTAGGTTTCAAAGAGACAAATATTTACCAACTTGATTCTGGAGTGTTGGGCTGCTTCTCATGAGGGCCAGTGGGATGGGGCCATAACCACTGCACAAAACTGAGGGGGCAAGCTGCCATGCCCAATGACCAGAGGAAGAGGGCCTGCCAGGCCAATGGTGTAAGTTTGCCACTCGGACTAGGAGACTCCACAAAGGGTGGAATTGTGGTAGTTAAGGTTGTGTGTCAACTTACCTGGGCCTGATTTTGAGTGGCTAGGCAACTGGATACAGAGATTTCCCATGATGAGATGGTAATCAATTCCATGGTTGAATTTGTAGTAAGCAGCTGAGTAGCTGCCTTAGGGATATGGTCTGCTTCCAGTACATAAGAAGAAGCTTTGAGAAATGTCCTGAGCTTCTTGGCACATCTGGATCATGCATTTGGCTGAATTATTAGTGGTCTGCCATGTTGTCTGCCAATCTTGGGACTTGATCTAGTGCCCTGCTGTGTTGCTTGCTAATCTTGGGACTGTTCCATTTTACTTGTTGACCTTGGGTTTGTCAAGCTCAGCAGCAAGCAGCTGCATGAATGAAGAGCTGCCTCCAGCTTCAGTGAGCCAGGAAAAGAGAGGTAGAGCTGAAGTCCAAAGTTGAGGGGCCTTCACCCATCCCCTAGAGCTGGCACTTTGAATTCAGACTTCTAGCCTCCTGAACTGCAAGAGAATAAATCTCTGTTTGTTAAAATCATCCATTTGTTGTATATCTGTTATAGGAGCACCAGAGAACCAATATAATCACTTTTCTTTGGAATGAGCACAAATGTGGATTGGTTCCAGTTGGTTGACATCTTTCAATATTTCTCCCATAGAATCCTTCAATATTACAATTTTAGGCTTGAATTTTTTCTTCAGTTTTTTCAGCTTGAGAAATGCCAAGAATGTTCTTTCCTTTCAGTTTTCTAATTCTGGGTTTTTCCACATTTTAGTATAATTCTTTACTTTGTCTTTTCAACCCACCCTTTGAAATCTTCTGTTCAACTCCTTTATTTCATCATTTCTTCTACTATCTTTGTCGTTGTTGTTATGTGCCGTCGAGTCAGCCCTGACTCATAGCGACCCCTCCTTGGGTTTCTGAGGCAGTATCACTACGGAAGTAGGATTGCCCAACCTACTATCTTTAGGTACTCTATATTCAAGAGCAAGTTTCAGAGTCTTTTCTGAAGTCTTCACTCCATCCATGTCATTAAGGTCAACTCAATTTTGAGAAGGCAGCTCTTCCTCAGTCATATTTTGAGTGTCTTCCAACCTGAAGGGCTCATCTTTCAGCACTATATCAGACAATGTTTCACTGCTATTCGTAAACTTTTCCAGTAATATATCAGACAGTGTTTCACTGCTATTCATAAGGTTTGCAGTAGCCAATTTTTTCAGCAATGGACAGCTCTGTGCTCTTTCCAGTCTGTCTTAGTCTGGAAGGTCTGTTGAAACCTATCTACCATGGGTGAACCTGCTGGTATTTGAAATTCTGGTGCCATGGTTTACAGCCTCACAGCAACACACAAGCCATCATAGTATGGCAAAATGGCAGATGAATTGTGAACACTGTCTACTAGTGGACATCAATGCTAACAGAAGAAGAACTATAGCTCTTTTTCCTAAATACAACTTTCACCAACATCTAATTTCCCTTGAGTTGATTCTCATTATTATTATGGAAACTTAAACCAGCAACCAAACCCAAACCGACCACCACTAAGTCAATTTTGACTAATAGTGAATCTATAGGATAGATTAAAACTACCCCATAGGGTTTCCAAGAATGTAAATCTTTACAGAAGCAGACTGCCTCATCTTCCTCCCATGGAGCAGCTGGTGGGTTTGAAATGCCAACCTTTTGGTTAGCAGCCAAATACTTTAACCACTGCACTACCAGGACTTCTTAAACCAGCCACAGGGATATATATATTTCCATTGTCATGAAGGTGGTTGTTTTTCACTGGGGGAGGAAGTCTATGGTTTATAAATATAACCACTATACAGTGGACCTGGTATACTTTTCAGCAATGATAAAAGGTGCTAAATACACTGGAGGAAGGCAACTTTTTAACATTGTGAAGGGATGTGTGTGAGAAGTCTTCACCACATGCAATAGGTAAAGGCTAACTTAGAAAGAAACAATACCATGGGACAGAGAGTGGATGAAGGCTTGCTGAAGGAGAAAATGTAGGGAAGAATTGAGTAATCCTATTACCCATAAGCAAGGAGCCCTAGTGGAGCACGATTAAGTGCTTGGCTGCTAGCCTACCCAGTAGCTCTACAGGAGAAAGACCTGGGGATCTGCTCCTATGAAGATTTCAGCCTACAAAGGCTTACTCTGCTCCAACACATGAGGTCGCCGTGAGCTGAAATCAACTTGATGGCACCTAACAACACCACCATCAAGAACTAGCCCAAATGAACAATGATCCTGACACAGCATTAGAGTACACTATTTTATAAGTTTATTGTTTAAGCCGAGGAGGCCCTGGGTGGTGCAAATGGTTAAGTGTTCAACTACTAGCTGAAAGGTTTGCTTCATCCCATCCTAGCTTAACATTTAGAAACATTTACATTTATGAAACTCAATGGATTTCAGTTTATAGAATAAGAATCTATAGATATAAGAACCCCTGGTGGCAAAGTGGTTAAGCTTTTGGCTGCTAACTGAAAGGTCAACAGTTCCAACTGACCAGCAGATGAAAGAGGTGTCAGTCTGCTTCAAATGATTACAGCCTTAGAAACCCTATGGAGCAGTTCTACCCTGTCTGATACAGTCACCATGACTTGGAATTGACTTGAGGGCAATGGATTTTGTTTTTGGGTACATCTTTTGATAGATAGTAGAAAGACAGATAAATAGATAGGTAGATAGATAGGTGATAGGTAGATAGGTAAATGGTCAAAACTGATATTATTAACTTGGTATGGAGAATTTAGAGAAAGTTTTCTATCCAGGTTTAAAGACAAGTACCAATACTGTACACCATCCCATTAATTACTGATCCATAGTTGTGAACTATCAAAGAATGATCCTTCATTTAAGCATATTTGAGGGTTACCAATTAACAGTATTTTTTAAAAAAATTCATTGCCCTCAAATTGATTTTGACTCATAGAGACCCACATTGAGTTTCCAAGGCAGTAAATCTTTACAGAAGTAGATCACCCCATCTTCCCTCTGTGGAGCAGCTAGTGGGTTTGAACTACCAACTTTCTGGTTAGCAGTCAAGTGCCTTAGGCATTACACCACCAAGAACTCCTTATTAATATTATAGTCAGGTAGAAATTTGAACAAGCAACTGGGAACTATCAAATTTATTTAGTATTTTTTATCACAATTATAAAGAATAGAATATTCTTACCAGTTTCCCTTTGGATTTATAAACTGCTGCACTGCATAGCCAAACTGTTCACTTGAAGGACCGGAAAATATTTTTGCTTCTGGGAGACCAACATTGTATGCCACACAACAATTTAAAATTCCTATTGAGAAAAATAAAAACATAGTCCATATTTACAATTTGTGAATATGAGTTTGTAATGTAACTCTCAAGGCCATTGGGGTGGGGGTGGGGGCTGGAAATTTGTTTGACATAGTAATTACATCTGTTATAAATGTTTACTAAAAACTAATGGCTACTGCTATTTAAGCCCTTATTTTAGGCCCAGGTACCATGCCGAGTATTTTCTGTACATGATTCATTATCTCCTTATTCCTCTAGCAACCATAGGAGATGGTTATGAATATTTCCTTAGTTTTATAAAGAAGGCTTCTGAGGTTTTAGGAGGTACACATGTCTCACAGCTGGAACATGGTAGGGACAAAATTTGAACAGAACATTTTGATTCACAAGAGATCTGGTGGTACAGTGATTAAAGCATTTGCCTACTAACCAAAAGTCTGACAGACTGAACCTACCCATCACTCTGTGAGAGAAAGATGAGGCAGTCTGCTTCCACAAAGATTTACAGCCTTGGAAACTCTATGGAAGTTCTACTCTGTCTTCTTGTTGTTGTTGTTAGGTGGCCTCGAGTCATCTCTGACTCATAGCAACCCTATGCACAGCAGAAGGAACCACTGCCACTGCCCGGTCTTGTGCCAGCCTCACGATTCTTGCTATACCTGAGCATATCATTGCAGCCACTGTGTCCATCCATCTTGCTGAAGGCCTTCCCCTTCTTCTTTGACCCTCCATCTTACCAAGCATGATATCCTTCTCCAGGGAATGGTTCCTTCTGACAACATGACCAATGTAGGTGAAATGAAGTCTGGCCATTCTTGCTTGCAAGGAGCATTCAGCTGCACTTCTTCCAGGACAGATTTATTAGTCCTGTTAGCAGACCATGGTACTCTTAGCATTCTTCTCCAATAATACAACTCAAATGCATCAATTCTTCTTCAGTCTTCCTTACTCATTGTCCAGCTCTCACATGCAAAAGAGGCAATTGAAAATGCCATGGCTTGGGTTAGGCATACCTTGGTCTTCAAGGCGACATCTTTGCTCTTCAGCACTTGAAAAAGGTCTTTTACAGTAGATTTGTCCAATGCAATACGTCGTCTGATGTCTTGACTACTGCTTCCATTGGTGTTGATTGTAGAACCAAGTAATATGAAGTCCTTGACAACTTCAATCTTTTCTCCATTTATCATGAAGCTGTTAATTGGACCAGTTGTGAGGATTTTTGTTTTCTTTATATTGAGGTGTAATCCATACTGCAGACTGTAGTCTTTAATCTTCATCAGTAAACTACTCTGTCTTACAGGGTCACTATGAGTCAGCATTGACTCACTGGCAGGATTTTGGTTTGATTTTTGGTCTGATTAAAGAGGCTGATCTCTTAAACCACTATATTACCGTTAAGTATTCTTAAGTAATTTCAGTACTATTTGTCCTTTCTGATGTCTCTAAGCCACCAAAGGGTAGGGTCTGAAGAATATCTTTTATTTCCTAACCTCCCCTGAAGATTCTGACATGAGCTCTACACCACCAGAGGTCCCTCTGTATGAAATGTCTCTTGAAAACATATGGCCCACATTCACTGAAGGAGATGGAAGATCACAGTTTCTTGAATACTGTATCATTTTCTTCCATAAAGAATCTCTCTTGAGAATGAAAATATAGAGAAAAGTATATCTCTTGTATTACAATGGAAACTGTCAAAAGACAGTTTTACTTTTCAATGTTCCTTTCTGAGTTATCCAGAAAGACAACCACTTTGAAAAATAGAAGAAGGACAATAGAGGATAAAGCCTTAGTAGGCAGTTTTGAAAAACTATTTCTGATGGGAAATGAATGGTAGAAAAGAGTACGAATGATTAAGTTTCCCTTCCCTGACACTAATAGCATTATAGCTGAAAGTCCTCCATTCTATGGAAAGGAAGATTATGTAGAAAATAATGCTGTCTATCGAGATGGAAATGCTTCAGGTCATTTGAGAAGAATATTTATCTTTGCAGACACTGAAGGCAGAGTGGACAGTTTTTGAAATCAACATCAACGGTCCATTAATAAATCTTTTCACACACAAAAAAAATTCTACTTTTGGGGTAGCATTCAAAGTGTATAATATTTCATGAAACTATTGTTATAGCTACTGAAAAGCTGCCTTTCTATTTCTGGAAGATTCTGTAGAGTGCTCCAAAGTAATAAAGAAGTCAATGGAGCTTTGGAGACTTAAAGTAGTTAACATGCCTCTCTAAATGCCAAAATCACTCCTCTATGAGGGATTTGTTACTCAAGAGAGTACATGACATTATTTCTCAGAATATGTATTTCCAGAAAGAAAAATACAAATATTAATACTCTACAGATGAATCTACAAAGCCCTACATTTACAAAGTTTTCTTCAACATCTATTTTTCATATGCATGCTTCTTTGTTTCTTTTTAGGGAATAAAATTCAAACAAACAAAAAAAGTCACATAACAAATTAAGCAGAGAACCAGAACTGACATTCAGCTTATTTGTGTTTGCAATCAATGGTTCATCTTTACCTGACTAACAGAACTGAATGAATACTGTTTGAATGTTACCAATTATCTAACATAGGAGTAAGAGCCTGGGGAGATGATGCCAAATTGTTTCCCCTTTTACAATGTCTAAGGCTGGAAAGAATACATCTGACTACATATACAATGATCTCATTATTTTTTTCCCATTAATTAAGCCTTGGCAGATCACGTTATGGCATGCAATCATGATGGAGTTCACTTTCTCATCTAGCAGTTTAAATTGCATTATATGTCCGTGTGTGTGTGTGTAATATATATGACTTAGAAATGTGTATTAGATCATTTTATCCCTCTACCTAAAATTTTCCAGTGTCTTGTCATTACACAAAAAATAAAATCGAATTTCCTTACCATGGTTTCAAAGGTCCTTCACGATCTGGCCCTTGTGCTCAAACAGGTCTCTGCTCTCCTCATAGATATCTGCCCTGACTCCTTCATCCATTAATGATGCCCCATTCTATCCATGTTACTCTAGCCCATTATGTTAGCACTTACTGCTTCAAAGTATCTTATTCATTTATGTCAATTTGTGTCTATCTCTGCCCACTGAAATGTAAGCTCTTTGAGAGCTCAAAAGTCATCTCTTTTATTCATTTCTCTTTTCTTAGCATTGTTGTTGTTGTTGTTATGTGCCGTCGAGTCGGCCCCAACTCATAGCGACCCCTCCTTGGGTTTCAGAGGCAGTATCACTACGGAAGTAGGATTGCCCAACCTTCCTTCCGAGGAGTGGCTGGTGGGTTTGAACCGCCAGCCTTCTGGTTAGCAGTCAAGTGCTTTAGCCACTATGCTACCAGAGCTCCTTAGCATTAGTGAGTTGAAATGGACTTGTTTGGCCATTTTTAATTAGATAATCATATGGTTTACTATGCTGGGAATGACAAATACAAGAAGAATTATATCTCATTCATCATCAAAAGAAACATTTCAAAATCTATCCTGAAATACAATGATATCAGTGATAAGATAATATTCATAGGCCTACAAGGAAGACCAGTTAATCTATTATTCAAATTTATGTTACAAGTCCTAATGCCAAAGATAAAGAGTTTGAAGACATTTAGCAACTTCTGCAGTAAGAATTTGAACAAATATGCAATCAAGATGCATTGATAATTACTGATAATTGCAATGTGAAAGTTGGAACAAAAAAGAAGGATCAGTAGTTGGAAATTTTGGCTTTGGTGATAGAAATGATACAGGAGATTACATGATAGAATTTTGCAAGACCAACAACTTATTCATTGCAAATACCTTTTTCAAGAATATAAATGGGAGCCTATACATGTAGACCTTGCTGGACTGAATAGACAGAAATGAAAACAACTATATCTGGGGAAAGAGAAGATGGACAAGTTCAATATCATTAGTCAGAAGAAAACCAGGGGCCAACTACAGAACAGACCATCAACTGCCCTTATGCAAGTTCCAGCTGAAGAGGAAGAAAATGAAAAGAAGTCCACAATAGACAAAGTACAACCTTTTATCACACCTGAATTTAAAGACCATCACAAATACAGATTTGACACACTGAACAATAGTGACTGAAGACCAGATGAGTCAAGGGATTGTATCAAGAAGATCATATATGGGAAACAATTAGTCCAAGTGACTGGTACACCAGGCAATCCTCAGCCTATACAACTATGAGACCAGAACAACTAGATAGTGTCAGGCTATAACTGTCAACCACTCAGAGGGGGATCTATGTAGAAGATCTTGGATAGAGTAGAACAATGTGGAACAAAACTCAAAATCATTAAAAAAAGAAAAAGGACCAGGTTTACTGGTCTGATAGAGCCTGATGGAACCCTGAGACTATGGCCCCTACTTGCCCTTCAGGTCTGGAATTAAACCCACTCCTGTGGCTTCAAGGCAAACAACAGACAGGCATATGAGGTGAACATTTACACTAGGTAGATACACTCCTTGGAGAGAACAATCATGGGAGAATAGAAGGGCTTTGTATGCACAGGGAGACAGTTCAGGGTGGCAGAAGTGCATGGAGGAAAGGACACAAGGAAGAAGTAACTATGAGGAGGAAGTAGGTGGGGAGCTGTTGCATTGTGGGAAATTGTATCCAATGTCATGAGACAAAGTGTATGTGAGCTGCTGTTTGGAAAGTGAATTTGCTCTCTAAACTTCTACCCAAATCACAATAAAAATTAAAAGAAGAAGAAGAAGAAGATCATACATGAAGGAAGCATACAGTCATTAAAAAGACAAGAAACAAAAGACTAAAATGGATGTCAGAAGAGACTCTGAAGCTTTTTATTGAACATAGAGTAGCTAAAGCAACTACAATAAATAAAAATGAAGTAAAAGAGCAGAACATAAGATTTCAAAGGGCAGCTAGAGAAGAAAATGCAAGGTTTTATGACGAAACATGAAAAGATCTGAAGTTAGAAAACCAAAAGTGAAAAACAATGCTCAATATTTTCCAAGCTGAAGGATCTGAAGAAAAAATTCAAAACTCGAGTTGCAACATGGAAAGA